GAAGCAACTTCGGCTATCAAATAGTGCCAGAATGACTCATTCTCCGGGTGAGATTGTCAACTATGTCAGTCTAGATGCATACAGAATAGGTGAGTACCCGTATTGGTTTCATCAAATATGGTCAACAAGCCTTCGGTTATGCCTTGCGTTGTTTATTGTGTACTATTCTGTGGGATGGGCAAGTGTTCCGGCTTTAATTGCTATTGTTTTGACTGTTGCTGCGTGTTCTCCACTGGTCAAATTACAACATGAGTATCAGAAAAAGCTAATGGTGGCACAAGGTAAAAGGCTAAAGGCTATCACAGAGGCGCTTGCAAATATGAAGGTCTTGAAGCTGTATGCATGGGAAACACATTTCAAGAATGTTATAGAAGGGCTGAGGAAAGAAGAATTCAAGTGGATATCAGGTGTTATGGCACAAAAAGGGTGTTATCTGGTTCTGTTTTGGTCATCTCCAACTATAGTACCGGTTGTTGCCTTCTGGACATGCTATTTCCTCGGTATTCCACTTGATGCTGCAAATGCCTTCACATTTCTATCTTGTCTCCGCATTGTTCAGGAGCCAATTACGTTGATTCCAGATGTTCTTGGAGTGTTAATTGAAGCAAAGGTTTCCCTGGATCGGATTGTGAGGTTTCTTCAGGAACCAGAATTGACAAACAGAAATCTACGGCAGAAGTGCGATGACATAGTGTTTGAACACTCTGTTTTTATCAGGTGCACTGAAATTTCTTGGGACACTAATCCTTCCTCCAGAGCCACTTTAAGGAACATAAACTTGACAATTAAACCTGGGGAAAAGGTTGCTATTTGTGGAGAAGTTGGCTCAGGCAAATCAACTCTTTTAGCAGCTGTTCTTGGAGAAGTTCCAAATATCAATGGCATTGTAAGTGGAATAATGATTAACATAACCTCCTTGAAGAAAATTTTTGATATTATGATACTTCACTTCAGTTAGTTCGAATTACATAGATGTCTCACTTAAGCTTCTGTCTCAATCAGGTTGATCATCATGGAAAAATAGCATATGTTTCTCAGACAGCATGGATCCAGACAGGGAGTATACAAGAAAATATTCTGTTTGGCTTAGTGATGGATCCGATTAGATATGCAACAGTGCTCCAGAAGTGTTGCCTGGTAAAAGATCTGGAGATGCTTCCATACGGGGACCTTACCGAAATAGGTGAAAGAGGTGTTAATCTTAGTGGTGGACAAAAGCAGCGGGTTCAGCTAGCACGGGCATTGTATCAGGATGCAGATATCTATCTCTTGGATGAACCCTTCAGTGCAGTAGATGCACATACTGCAACAAGACTTTTCAATGTGATTTGTCTTCCATTTCTCTGTAATCTACAATCACAGATCCAATCTTCACACTGAAAATTAATTTCCCTTTTTTTCAGGACTATATCATGGGAGCTCTGTCAGGGAAGACAGTATTACTCGTGACACACCAAGTTGATTTTCTTCCAGCTTTTTCTTCTATCTTGGTTAGCTACTTTTATTTGTTTAACATTTTCTCATTTCTTTGTCATACACTGTATGTCTTGGTCACTGTTTTAAATCTATTTCTCTTGACAGTTGATGTCTGGTGGAGAAATTATAAGAGATAATACTTACGATGAGCTTCTGTCTTCAAGTCAAGAATTCCAGGACCTTGTAAATGCGCATAACAACACAACTGAGACTGAGATCCAAGTCAGGACTTCTCGTAGCAGACTACCTATTCAATCCACAGGAGAAATCCAGAGTGAATATGTAAAGGAAAAATCAGGAGTGCCTTCGGGAGAGCAATTGATCAAGCAAGAAGAAAGGGAAATAGGGGATACTGGTCTCAAGCCTTACTTACAGTACTTGAGTCACAATAAGGGCTTTCTATATTTTTCCTTGGCAAATATATTTCACATGATGTTCATAATTGGGCAATTCATACAGAACTTCTGGTTGGCTGCTGATATCCAGAATTCTACTGTCAATAGAGTAAAACTGATCACAGTTTACACACTGATTGGATGTGGCTTGGCAATATTCTTGTTCCTGAGATCATTATATTTGGTTGTCCTGAGTTGTAGCGCATCAGAGTCCATTTTCTCCACACTGCTGAAATCTCTTTTCAGAGCCTCAATGTCCTTTTATGACTCAACACCTCTAGGGAGGATACTCAGCCGGGTAAGACGTTTAAAAAGCTCAGCACCCTTTCAGAAAAACTCTTACAATTCTTACAATTTTGTTTTTAACCATCATAGGTGTCTTCTGATCTGAGCATCATCGACCTTGAAATAGCTATCAAGTCAGTAGTTGCAGTTGGATCAACCATGAATGCCTACTTAATGCTTGCAGTGCTGGGAATTCTTGCCTGGCCAGTTGTGTTTGTTATCATTCCCACAGTTTACCTAAGCATACTCCTTCAGAAACACTATTTTGCTTCTTCAAAGGAGTTGGTGCGAATCAATGGAACCACAAAGTCTGTAGAGGCCAGCTACCTTGCTGAATCCATTGCTGGAGCCATGACAATACGAGCTTTTGGGGAGCAAGAACGATTCTTTAAAAAGAATCTAGACATTATTGATGCCAATGCAAGTCCTTACTTCCATAGCTTTTCCGCAAATGAGTGGTTGATCCAACGCTTGGAGATACTGTGTGCAGTTGTTCTCACATTGTCTGCTCTTGCCCTGACTCTTATTCCTTTGGGAGCATCTTCTTCAGGTTTATTCATCCGTAGCTTTGAGAAAAATATCAATAGAATCTCCTCATATTTGGATCAATTATTATCTAACAATTCATAATTTGATGGCAGGTCTCATTGGAATGGCACTGTCATATGGACTTTCTTTAAATG